TTTAATATGTACTTCAATCCCCAAGGCGTAAGATTATTGTATGTTGCAGTGTAACAACTCCAAACACTAACGAACTGCAGCCAAAGCCCAAAGGCAAAAATAACCCAAGTAAATCGTACTAAAACTGTACATTAGCATTGTGACAAGTAATAATGCAAATTCAAATATTCAATCTTCTTTGGCCATTTCAACATCTAAATTGAAAGAAAAATGTCAACTCTTCTAGACACTTATAAGTCTTTTATGAGAACTTTCGGTCATGGAGAACATGTTGCCCCAGTCTCGTTGTCTCATGTGGAGCATTGCTGGGGTTTGGAACTGCTATAGTATGCATGGTGAACGCAGTGTAACAGAATGTTTCATTTCGAGGGGTCCAAAAGAGACAGATAAATTGGACTTAAAACAGAAGACATCTGCAAGTTTTTGGATTCCATATTAGCTTCAAAGAATTTGGAATTTTGGATGACTGACCAGTATGAAGGTCCAGTAACTGATTTTGCTTTGGCATACGCAAATTGCGCAGAGTTGGAGGACAACTTGCCTTCTTATTAGTAATTAAATTAGCTGGCGGACAAACATCAGAACAAGCCTGCATATAAAAAATTGACTGAATTAGAGGGACAGAATCGCCCTAACCTGTGGGACCTCGTACCGCCGTACTACTTAGTTGATGGCGGCTGCTAGTGATTCCAGACGAGATTTGGTATGTGACAGCCCACCTCCCCTAAGGCCGGATTTGCGACGTGGCAGTCACTATTCATCCTTCGGTTTTGATTTTCGTTTCCGTTTCGTGGTTGTTGAATCGTTTAAGCGTGCTAATATATTTCGGAACGTTTTAATTTGTGTATACCCGTCTTAGTAGTCCTGGCGAAAGTTAAGTAGGCGGTCCGCCGAATCCTTTGGTTCGGCTTAGAGGAGGTGGGGCTGTCACATGGTATTACGAGCAAATGAATCTACTGAAGAAACATGAATATGTCCTCCTCTATCACCAAAGATACTCTTCTTCAAATTTGAAGAAAAGGGAGAGGTCGAAATAGTTTAAATTGGAATTTTGTCATGCTGGAATGTCCAAAGCTGAAGGCAGCCGCATTCATTGAATGGCGGCCATGCCTCTTATACGTCAATGTAGAAGCCAGTTAGCCAACAGCTAATTTCGGGGGACTCATTTTCAACGAGCAAGACAAAGAAACATGCTGCATTATTATTTTATAAAGCAAAACCTTTGCTGGAAGAATTAACTATTTTACAAGATTTAATGCAAAAAGAGAAGTTATCGTCCTGAAAAGATTTTTCTTGTTGCTCTAGAAATTTTCTTATGTCACGTTGAGTATCATGTTTATCAGATGTTCTTTTTTATCATTTTAAGCTAAGATGATTTGCCCACCAAATTTGACCTCTTGCTGGAGTTAAAATTTACGTACCTGTGGCTGTGGGTCTGGGAGTGGGGGTTATTGTTGTTTGTGGAATACACTGATTGGAAGGAGAATAGACAGACAAATATTACTACTTATAGCAGAGTCATGAGAACATATGGCATCATGATTCTTTTCCTATTATTATGCAGATAGTGAAAAGAAACAAGTTGGATCCAAAGATATGCTTAGATTTGGATCGGATATCCATTTCACTGAGTCAATTGATGTCAAGGGCTTAACCTGATTAGTCGAAAATGGTCTGGACCCATCTTTATAATCAGTGGGATACTGGATGGAAACCTCCCTCCCCCTTCGCGAGGGGACCCTTTACTGTAAAAAAACCATAGATCACTTGAAAGAAATGCTTGAAGGAAATTCCACGGCAAGTAACCAAAGCAACCAGTCGTTCAGAGCAAAACAGCAGGCGGATGATGAAATCAAGGTTTGAATATACATATGATAATATTAGATTGTGGAAAAACTACATGTGCATTGCACTCAGCAGCACCATTACCATTACAGGTGGTAGTTGTCTTTCAGAAAGTATCCGGATTTTAGTCTTACAAAGTTCAAATGAAGTCCAAATCAGAGAAACAACCGGGAAAGGTTTTTGATGCTTGACTACATAATTTTCTATACCTTTATGACGACATTAACCACCTTCTTCAGGAGATTATAAATCAATAAAATAATTATGGGTCTCCCTACTATTATTGGCAGAGTCACCTCCTCATTTCTAATTGAATCTATTTATCATAGTGTTGTGCATTCTCCCCCGAGTCCGGAGCCACTAACTATTACAGAATCAGAAAGTTAATCCTCATCTTGTGTGAACTTCCACTTCATACTCTTCCAATCTTCTATCCTTCAAACTTTTTGAGACATATTGTCTTCTTTTTTGGCTGGGAGATTGGAGGCTCTTGTCTTGATATAGGATATTTTTAAGCATACAAAGGGGGTCCTGTAGTCTTTGTTAGGTAGATACAAAGTGAAACGCATATAATACTTGCAGATGTTATTCTGACCTTTCACTATCAAGATTCAAGAGTGAGTCATTTAAAAAACAAGGGAAACGCATGCACACACGTTATTTAGAGAATTTCTAGGATTGGCCGACTTCTGCCATCTCTCTTGGTGGCTATCTACTTTCAGCAGACTTCCCAGCTTCATTTGATGTTCATAAACTGTAGGTGAGAAACTGATTCTCTAAGCAGAAGTAATGCTTTAAGCTTCTAAATCTGCTAGCCGGTCCCTTATGTTGCTCTCCCTTTCTTTCTCAGAGATACACACACGCATCACACATCACAATCTCGCTCACGCAGCATTTCTCACCCGATAGATTGTTGAAATCACTGTCTCAGATTTAGAGCTGCAATTCCTGAATCATGACTTCTTAACTCAGCGAACTGTGGATTCTCTCTGTAAAAGACTTTTGATTGCACGGGATTTGCCTAGTAAAAAGATAATTCCACTCTCTTAAAACTTTGGATGCTTTCTGAGATTGTTGGTTCTGAGGTGGGAAAAGCAACAGTGAGAGATCCTCTCTTTTCTACTTGGAATAGCATGTATGCACCTGTCTTTTTTGGTTAATGGATTTAGCCAGTTGACTTAATTGGATTTTGTGTTTTCAGGGGGATGTCATCAGCTGAAGGCAAGTATAGCTTGTACAGGCAAGGCAGCTCTGGTTGGTCAACCTTGAGGAATGAAGAATTTCAAGAAGAAGATGTCTGGGGTATTCTCGGGCGAAGTAAAGAATTGAAGAAGTCCAACTCTGATTCCTACAGAGAATCGTCCTCTATGGTTTCGAGGCGCCGGCCGACTGCATCGAGAATGATTCCAAAAGCCACCAGTAGTAATTCTGGGACCGAACCCAAAATTATTCAACAGTCAGCCCCTGTTAACATCCCTGATTGGTCCAAGATTTATGGAAGCAGCTCCAAAAAACCATCCAATACTGTTTCACGGCTTGATGATGATGATGATCACGGCAATAGCGATGGCGTGATGTATAACAGTTGGGACAGTGATGAAGAAGAGGAAGATGATGGCAGTGTGGTTCCACCCCATGAATGGATCGCCAGAAAGCTTGCAAGGAGTCAAATAACCTCATTTTCTGTGTGCGAAGGTGTTGGAAGAACACTCAAAGGTAGAGATCTGAGCAATGTCAGAAATGCTGTGTTAACCAAAACAGGATTTCTTGAGTAACTATTTGTGATGGACATGATTAACATTGTCATGATGGTGATTCTGTTTCATCAATATGATTGGTAATGTAATACTGCTAGTAAATATGGGTCCCTGTGAAATCATGCTGCTATTATCTTATCGCAATTCAATTGTACAGGTTTGTCTGCCTGCTTCAGGATTTCTGATTAGACAATTTGCCTTATTTGGTATAAATAGACAATGTGCTTCCTGTATTTAATACCAGTGTATTTTCCTGTTAGGTTAGTGCTGCTGTGGGTAAGAGATTAACTGCTTGCCCTTCAAATTAAAAGTGAACTAATAAAATAAGTACGTGATGTTGATAATTTTTCATTTCTGTTTTTCTATTTCTTCTTTTGGTTACCAATGGGGTTAACTGCATGGAGATCAATCAAAACTTGTTCTTCGACAAAAAAAAAAAGGGTTCCAATATCCACTACCACTGGCGCTTTATTCGATGTTTAAACTACTTTATGATTCTTGCCTCTCCTTAATGCAAAATAGTTTGTTTATTGCTAGTCTGAATTTTGCAAGTTTACCTCTCTTTTTTTTTTTCTTTTTCCTGATCAATAAATTTCACCTAAAGCACGTATACGACTTTCATACAACGACAATAATAGATACAACCAGACAAGGAGTACAAAAAGTATTGCTAGTACCTTTGTCCAACGGTACCTTTACTCGTGTTCATAAAGAAAATACCCAAATTTAGAAGAGGACAACGAAAATGACATTATCGAAGAGTAAAAACAAGGTGGCAATGGGAAAAAAAAAAGTTGTGTATTCTTATATTGTGATATAACATTTAGTACAAATAAAATTGTGCGACCGTCGCCCTAGGGGAGCGAAAATAAAAAAAGGGCCCTCCCTCGTTTTTCTTGATTTTTATTGATTAGTTTTCATTTCACCGTATTAAGCTATAAAATTCCAATTTTTATAAACTTTTTTTTTTTTTAATAGAAGCCACCACCCTACGCAACTCGTCCTTGACAATTCAATTATAACCAGAGAGAAAAAAGGGAACATTTTTTAACATGATACCCACCATACTATTCAATGTACACTCATTGCCTCGTTGAAAATTAACAAGGCATGGCCGTAACACACAAAATCAGACTTGGAAATTTTGGAATTAAGCGGGCGCAAATATATATTTTCTGCAGCTGAAAATAATTTAATTGCGTGTCTAAAGTCACAGGAAGAGTATCTAGTTGCTTTCTCGTAATCAAACAGAAGAAGAAGATGTCACACATGCAGCCAGACACATTACATCATATTTTGTCTTCACACTTCATCTTTGAAATTTCTTTTCTTTTGGTTTTGGTAATGACATTTATTATCATTTTTGATAGGTACGTACACTACGTAAAATATGAGGCTCTAGACGAAGCTGAGTTCAGGCTCCACCAAGCTAGAAATTGCCTCAATTTCTCTGTTCTTGAAACTTTCCACTTCTTTCAGGGCCAGTGCTCTCAAATTTTCCACCATTTCTCGCACTCCCTTTTGATTTCTTCCAATTCCATATAGCATTCCTTGTATGGTTCCGGCATAGAGTCCATAGCTTCTCAACTTCTCGATTTCTGCCTCGCTGCCTATGTTTTCAGAACCGGACCGGATAGCGACTCGGCCGAGGTCAGGGGTCAGGGGTCAATGGGTTCGACCGGGGGTCGATAGGGGTCGAACCGGATGACGTCATAAATAAAAATTATTTTAAAATTAAAATGTTATATATATAATATCTAATAATATATTGATATTAATAAAGGCATATTCATATATATTTGATGTTTCAAATATATTTAACAAGAAAATACAAAGAAATTAGAACAATCAAGTAGCAATTTATATTATTTAATAAATATTAACAAGTTTAGAATTAAAATTATGAATTTAATTGAAAAATAACATCAAATTTTAGGACAATATTTATAAAGTATCAAATATTTGAGGTATATCAATAAGTTTTAACAATTTAGGGGGTCAAAACATAATATTAAAAAGTTTGAATTTTTTTTTTAAAAAAATACTGTTGAACCGGAAAAACCGGTTTTTTCCCGGTCAAACCCGGTCAAACCCGGTTTTTGACCGGCTTTGACCGGGTTTTAAATTTCCGGTTTTCTAATGTGACTCGGACCGGCTACCTGGCCGGTTCCCGGTTCGACCGGCCGGTCCGGTCCGAGTTTGAAAACAGAGCTCGCTGCCGCCTCCTAATATTGCTCCACAAGCTGCAGCACAAGCATGCAGTTCACCTTCTTTCTTCCTGCTCACATACTCAATCGAGCTCGCATCGACCGCCCCTTCCTCATCCGATTGGCTGATGATGAATTCCCTGAATTGGCCATCCACCACCCCCTGCGATCCTGTGGCCCTGGCGATTTCGGTCATTACCCTCAACACCCGATCCGGATTGTTTTGGGCTGAATACAGCGAATCAGCCAGCAGCTCGAACCCAAATGGCACGATTCCGTCCCCGGTCAGGAGCTCAATATTGGGGCCGAACTTACGTTCCGTTGCGGGCTTGGTCTTGGGCCTGGTCCTGTCGGTCAAGGGAAGCTGCTCGTGAGCAGACGCAGCTGCATGCATGAGCTGAATAGCAGACGCCGCAGCCATGGCCTGGCTCCGGTGGCCGCCGACGAGTTCACAAGCAGCAATGCACAGGGCCGGGGCTGTGGTTCTCGGCGCTGCAAAGGCTAGATGATGCATGGGCTCGAAGACCGAAACCGGATGCCGGATTGGGATGGCTTCCTTTAGATGTGTTTCGACGTCCGCTTCGATATTTGCCCAGTAAGGTTGCTCTCGGGACATTCTGACCACCAGAGGCCTGTAACATACTGACGAAGGGCTAAGAAGATTTGATGTGGAGGACCCGAAAAGATTCGCCCTTCCATTGCAAGTTGAAAGAGCTCTAGCCATCTTCTCTTCGCTTAGATAGGAGTATATGGAAATGATATAGTACTACCGCTGACGACTCCGGATCTTGCGGGCTAATATTTTTTTTGCAACTGGTGCGGGAGACTTCACTCTTTATGGCTTACTCTTTATAGATGAAGTCAAGATTTCGTTTTTATGGCTTACTCTTTCTTTTTTTCTTTTTTTCTTTTTTTGGGTGGTGGTGGTGCATGAGCACGCGGGGCACGGGTTTGTGAAGCTGGAGGTCTCTGTTTACGTAACAATTATTGATACTGCCTTAGGTCTCACGCTATTTTAGTAATGGTAATGGAACCGCGTGAGACATGAGCGATTGATTGACATTTTTCGCCAACTAACGTTTGGTTGGACGTTTCATGTGTAGAATGGTTCACATCTCTGCACATGACAGAGCCTTATAGAAAGAAAGAGTACGTGTAAGTAAGTTGTAGTAGTATTGAATATGTTTTTTCTTTTAAACGTTTTTTTTATGCAAGAGACAATTGTCCGAGGAATGGAGGATCAAGCAGCACAGATGCGTACATCAAAACTTCTTTTCACTTGTTGTACTGGATATGTTGACATACGACGTACGTACAAATGATTTTGATTTCAGGGAAAAGGAGGACCACAGAGAAGAAGATGTCTAGGTTTTACAATACTACTACTATATTCTACCAAACGGAGCTGATGAATTATCTTTATATTTATCGTCAAAAAAAATTTTCTTCTTTTTTTTTTAAATTTTGCTGGACCACTGCCCTTTTTATTGTGCTGTAAACTAGGCAAAATGTATGTGGTTGATTGATGCACTAGGCCCCACGGGTTTAATCACATGGTAGCAGCGTTCCCTTGGAACCTTTAGGTTCCGGGTTTGAAACTGCGCTATGGGGACGCCTGTGTACTTATTGTGCCTTGGTCGGGTTGGAGGGTCGGACTCTGGTTACAGAGAATTAGTCGGACCCGTAAGGATTGACTTGGACACCCTGTGTCGACAAAAAAAAACAAAAAAAAAAAAGATTGATGCACTAGAGCTAAACCGACAAAACTGACCATTTGCAGTGGATAATCCATTTAGACGTTTCCGGCACGTCTCTTATCTTTCAAGGGGGGAAAAAATTAAAAATACAAACCAGTCCCTCTCCCTGTCGTCGACAATGTCATAACGAAATATATCTGAATAATGGCTTCTTTTTTTATCTTACATGTAAATTCCTTCCTCGTCACTTTTAATGATAAGTATTTGGGAATATTTCATGGATTTCCTCCAAGGGAAAAAAAAAATTACGCGCTGAATAGCTATGGGAGTATATTTAAAGGGTTAGCTAAGGAGTCAGTCCATTTCTCCCAAAATTTACATATTGCTTCAGTAGTGATTAATTTCACTTTTTAATAGTATATGCTCTATAACAATTCTTGTAACGGTCTAGAGACAAGACAACATTATGACTCAATTCCACTTGGCACCATGGAGAGATCAATGAATTTGGGACTATTTCAGTCAATCAACAATAGTTACGTTATTTTAAACTTGCTTTCAATGCTTATGACGTGAAGATCTCGAGGCATTATTATGATTCAATTTCACTTGAAACCATGAAGAACCCCGTTCGAACAAAATTGATCGGCTCACCAAGTTGATCGGTTGAACAGTCGATTCGTCAATAAATTTATTATTTAAATAATTCGATTAAAGACTTAATTCAATTTAGTTACTGGTTCATTGAATTGATCGGGTTAAATCATCGGATCGGATAAGGTTTAATAACACTAATGAAGAGGTCAATGTTTTTCTTTCTTTTTTTTTTAATAAAATAAAATTGTCTACATTTATATGACTACTAAATTAATCTATATATTAAGGGAGAGCCTAATTGAGGAAAAAGGAGCTAGAGGGAGATAAACCAACCAAAGAAGTGTATCGGCACACACCTTTGAATTTAATCGGAAATGTCAGGACACTGCCCTAATCCGAGTTGAGGATAATAATTACCAAGCCAAAATACTCCGGCCAATCAAATCAATCTTGTCGGCATATGGGCCTAACCCATGTGCCTCGATTGACTCGTGCACGGAAAATGTTATGCATAAACAGCGCTTGGTGCATATCCATTTAGCTTTGAGACAGCTACGCCCAGAGCCCATGTGTTCAATGCATTGTGACACCGTACTGGGGGCTTTACAGGAAAAAAAGTAGATTTAAAAAAGACAAAGTAGCACAATGTACACGTCCCAATTTGCGTTGGACGTGGGCTTCCTAGGCTCAGTTACGGGGCTCCACACGAGTGAGGTTGTGAATACTTGTGATTCGCTTGCAGCCCATTTCCCCCACCAAACTTGCTGAACCATATATATATATATATCTTACATATATATATAACAAACGCAATTTCATTCCAATATTTACACTAATGGCAGCAACTACATTAAATATAGTATTAATGACAGTAAATACATCAAATACGATACAGATATATAAATCTAAAATTTAAATGATAGAACATTTTTTTATTTGATCTGAAAAAATTTAGATTTGACTTCGCTATTTGGTTTCTTAGATCTATCAAATATCTAATCTCATCCACTGAAAAAGATAGAAAAAAGACTGCTTCAAACCCAAAAAAAAATTGGTTTATAAGATTTACCAAATCTCTAATCTCGACCATTAAAAAGAGAAAAGATAGAAAAACAAAAAACACTTTCACAAGAATATCTTACGAGAGAATAAAACTTCCACTAGAAAAATTTAATGGAGAAAAATCTCTCATCAGAAAATTATAGGAGAAAACAATCTCTCACTAAACAGCTCTAAAAAAGAATTTATTCAAACAAAGGAAATAAATTTTGGGAAAGGGCATCCTCTCATGGAGAAAAACCAGATTATCTTGTCTAATCTCTCTCCCATAGGAGGGTTGGTTAGAGGAGTTTTAGAGAGAAAGATAAGAGAAGAAATTCTAACAGGAGATGGACCATTCAAATATAGGACCTAAAATACAAGCCTTTTAACGTAATTAGTCACACAACACAACCACCGTTCACCAACTGCAGAATTTCGACCTTTCGATTGTCTGCATTGTGAGGCTTCTTAATCATCTGTTGCTCTACATAAATTCTTCATTACAGGTGAAGTCAATGAGGCGAAATCCAGTTTTACTTGATACTGCAACATATTGCTTAACTTTTAACGAGACATATAAAATTTGAGCATTTCTGACATGTATACAATCCCATCTTAGACAAAATCATGTCCATCTTATCTACTCAATAAATTAAAAGGCTTTTGAAGCTGTTTGTTGATTTCATTTGGAGAGATAAGATAATGCATGTTAACGGAATACATTGGGGTAAGATTTTGCCGAGTAGTTAGCTACTGAGTCACTATCCCACCAAAGATTCTAGACGTGCCTGTTTCGGCACTACGAAGGCAAAAGGGCAAGGCAACCACCACCTCAACCTACAGGCCACCGGGAGAACATTGACAAGAAAGCCCCATTAATATGTAAAGTTTGGTGCGGCTTATGAATCAATCCTTTGCTTTTAGTTCTAGTATAACGATAACGACAAGGGGATGGAAACAGGGCTGGCACTTGCAGAAAGTCACGACTTAGACTTTCTACCTAATACGGGTCTCTATTCAAAAGCAAGATACTAACATGCATGCATCCTCGAATATGTTCTCTCAAAAATAAAAACATTCATGTTTTCAAGAAGAATCTCCTAGCCATGGTGATTCTCATCGCACATGAACTTTCTAAGTTGTGAGATTAAATGTGTCAGCAGATGTTGGGATCAGGTGATTGCTCATCGTATCAAAATCCCCCTACCAACCTTTCGAACGTGTTCCCCATGGGGCTTAGTCCTTTCCGAACAATCTTTCTGTGATCACTGATCACGGAGTTTCTGACCTTGGACTAGGTGGTATTTGGTTGGCTATTTACGCTAGTAGTGACACATCATGAAGTTTCCTGCCTTTGTTTTTTAATGGCAGCGCCAGCCACATTATTATCACTAGAAAGAAAAAAAGAGGGGGTAGGGTCTTTCTCGTTAAAGCGTGTACCAACTGTGAATCACATAGGATTGCAACTTGCAAGGCTCACAGGGAGCTTACTGATATTAGACATATTTACAGGGTGTGTGGACTTTTTAGTAAAAATGGAGTAACAGGGAGTTTACTTCTTTTTCTTGGAGATCCATTTCTATTTCTAGATTATTAGAAGATGACTGCAGGGGTTTTTGCTAGCCTCAATTTTGTAAACGCTAGCTGACTTTTGTGTGTGTGTATATATATATCCTACCAAAAAGAGAAAACATTGGACAATAGGGTCATCGATTTGCTAATCATATTCATAGCGGTCAAGCGGAGTCCTTGTAGATCGAGTACCCTACAATGTGCATGATGTTACCATCTCCATTTCAACCCTTGTCCAGAGAAATCGGATAGTCATTCCATCGCAATTGAGAGTGTAAACAAACAACATCACTTTAGAATAGAGGTCAACCCTTGCACAACTCAGAATTTGAAGGGGTGTAATTGATTAAGTAAGGATTATGTCCTTGTAGTCTGTCTCCTTGAGCAGATGGACCAAACAGAACAAGGAAAAAGCAATAGTAGCAAATGAGTTTGGAGCCACCGCAGGGGTTATTAGCGTTAGTAATTACTGTAGTATTCTGCGGCGGTTGCGATGGCCTGTGTTCCGGGTCCTCTGTGTACTGTACGTAACTGAAGATGGCTTTTGACCCATGAAATAGAGTGGCCATGTTACTTGCTCTTGCATCATGTGTCCACAGCTCATCATTTCGTTATTTGAGATCTCCAACAAAAATAGTCCGAAATGATTAGGTAACACAAATCTGACTAGTACTAAATTGGAATGCCAAAAATATCAAAGGAAGTACCCGGGTCCTTCTCGATGCTCCTTCCTTTTACGTGCGTTCTCAAGTCATTTTCCTCTCTCCGACCTCCTTAATAACTCATCTTTGTCTTGCCAGGAAGAAAAAAGCAGAAACAAATCTCTTTCGTCTTATCTGTTGCTCTTTCGCCCACATAAGGAAAATTTATTGGATATTTAAGCAGTAAATGCTTCA